AGCCCTGGAGCCCCTCCTGCCACCTCTCACCCGGAGGTGCCTGCAGTAGGAGCACTGGCTCTCCAGCAGCTCTCCACTGGGGGTGCTCCTCGGGCTCCCTCCCACCATACAGGTTGAGAAGAGCTTCGCTGCTGTTAATGTCGTGGCTGCATTGAGCATTCTGGAGAGGCAGGAAGGAAGAGGGGCTGGTCTGGCCCACTTAGAATTGAAGTGACCACAGTAATCAGAAATCAAGGTAAGTGGAAGAGGGCTGAAGCTCATTAGAGGATTGGGCAGAAGTAGTGCACTGGAACTAAGGGAGGAAACACCACTGTCACCCCTGTGGTGAGCCAAGCGTGGCCCCAACAAGGTGCTGCTAGTCCCATAGTGCTCCTGTCTGCTTGCACCATTAACAGATGCTGCACTGACTGACCCAAGGGTTAAAAAAACTGAAGTCAGACAACATGACCCTCATTTTGGAGGCAAGGGATATAAATAAACACTAAAGGTCAGGGGGTACCTAAGGATTCTTTGAGGAAAGAGACCTCTTTAACATAATGATAACTTTACCTGCTTCACAGCAGATGCTTTAGTGCCATGAATCCTGCTGTGACAGCTTGAGGAAAGCAGAGAATAGCAGTCTTTGCAGGTTGTGCTGCCAAGCATCATTAGCAAGAAAAGACGTACCTAAGACAGCTGTCCAGGTGCATGCATCTCAGGCACCACTGAGGAGAAAATTTTTGAGAAAACTTTTATTAAATTCCTTTAAAACCCCTCTTCCAGTAGCCTCACAGATCCTGTGCTCCTCTGCTTAACAAGGGCCAAGACAGTTAATTAACCAGAGCTGCAGACAGCAGCATGGACATGTTTCTCTACAGCACAAGCAGCTTATGGTCTAATTTTCTAGAAGTGTCTTAGGGCAGATTAATTTCATGCCTGTTGCAGGCATCTGTAGCAGGACATCTTGGGAGAGAAAAGACCCACCTCCCCTCCATTTCACAGTGAGACGGGACCATTAACAGGACAATGCTGGTATGGTCCAGAAGGACTTTGCTAAGGTCCTGGTAGGCAGAGCAATTTGTCCTTAGCCAGAAAAATAGCTCCTTAAAAAGCTTCAAAAGAGCAAGTTCTTTCCCTTCATGCCACCCTCATTGTCTTAGCATGTGGGTTACTCTTCCAGTGGTTGTGTCCACCTTACAGGAGTGGCATGATTTACTTGAGAACATAACTCCATGTTCCTCTCCCCACTGGAACCTTAACATTTTACTGTCAGGGCAGTAATCATGGATTGTCTAGGGAGGAGTGTCTGCAGATCCACGTACTGCAACTCAGAGTTACTGCAACTAACTCTGCGCACTGGACAGAGAAGCCTGGCAGCTACCGTGGCAGCCGTTAGCGGACAGTGTTCCTGTGATGCTTTACATCAACAACTTCATCGGTCCAAAGCCATCACTATGTAAGGAAACAGTTTGATATTTGGGAGTGGTAATGCCGGCATCAGATCTACTTAGCAAACGTTTAGTCTTCCACTGTTTTATGGACAATCATCCCCACAAGACTGTTGATCTGATCAGTTAAAGGAGTTTTAAACTGTGTTTTATTTGTCAAATGAGCTTCATAAACTGTGAACTGTCTGCAAACTGTGTGCCCGTACTTGGTACAACACCCCCGTTCCCCTGAAATCTCACTTCACTTCTCTTGTGTGCAGTCTGAAAAGAAAAAAAAACCCAAAACATACAAGATTTAAAAAACAAAACCCTCTCACCTTTCAATTAGCTCAGCTAAATGACACAGCAGATTCAGGCAGGAATGTATAATGATACCCCATTAACCACATTTGTCTTCAGTGAACACTCCTGTTCTCTGCATTTAAAAAAGTACTAGAAAAATACACTAGTTGTCTTTACAACTTCTTTCTTCTTCACTCTGATGTCTAAACAGCATGTTAAATGGTAAAAAGATGCTCTAGATTAGCTGGACTATATATTTACTTTGCTGTCTTTATATCCAGTACAGGAACAATTACGTAGCAGCACATAAACCCTGTTATTTGATCTGCATTTGTAAAGCAAACTCTCCACAATTCAAGCCATGACCCAAAATACATTTATGGTGTCAAGTCATCAGACCAGAGTCAACCTGTGTTACAACCACCCAACCAAAAGAGCTTTTCAGTTACGTGGTTATGGCTGTAAATAAGCCCACTTCCTTTCTTTTCTTTTATTTTTTTAAATTTCCTTTTTCTTTCAGGCAAGTTCTCAGTGACCACTTTTTTTTTTTTTTTTTAAAACGACTGTCAACACTTAAGTTTGCCGTGGAGAGACCATATCAATAGTTGCTAAGATCAGTGCCAAAAAACCAGCTCTGGCACACAATGAAGGACTCTACAAGAAGATCTCAAAGACAGAGTTCTTTGCAACTCTCTGTTTATTAAAAATATACGTCTCCTTGGAAGAAACACTGGTAACCAACTAGTGTTGTCATGATCGATTCGATACTGTCAGCTATGTCATGGAGTACATCATCTTTTTCTCCATATGACTTGATGAGAGGGAGACAGGCTATTGGGGAAAAAAAAAAGGAAAGAAAAAAAAAAAAAAAGACAGGAACAGTGTGACCAGCATCTTAAGGACTTCTGTTTCACTTACTCCCCTTCTCCAGGGACTGACGTTTATAGCATCTGGAGCAGGACCAGTGGGGCACGGGGCTAGGTGCCGAACAGGAATCCATTGCCAAAGTTTGCTCCTTTAGGGTCGGTCCCATTGGAATCCTTCCTGCCCTCCACCGTGCTAGCGGCCGCATCTCTTCTGTGGCGCTGCTTTCTGTCCCAGGTCCCTGCAGGGCTCCTCGTGATGCAGGATGAGTCAAGACAGCTTCTCACCAGACAGTACACGTACAGTCTTACAGCAGCTCCTGTTCACACTGAAAACCATGGCCTGTGCATGCCATGCACCGACTGACACACTGATAACCGTTACCTTCAGGAAAGGGGACCAGCACCCCATGCGTTCACTTATCCCTATAAAATACGGGGAGGGAAAATGGGCCAAGACTTACCTGCTTGTGCTCATACAGTGACCTCCTTTGTTCTGGTGCTTGGCACTGTGAGAAACAGCATTCGCCAGTTCTTTGTAAGGTGGGAGTGCTCTTCTACCTGTACTCTAAGTACCCAGCAACACAGCTCCTCCTCAAAGGCCACGCGAGTTTTCCCCCAGCTTCACACAGGCTCTGTTCCCATGAAGGAGCCCCATTCAAGCGTGGAAGCCGAAGTGTCCTCAAAAGACAGACATTTCTCAGCTTTGGGCCAACTGTCTCAGCACCAGCAGTCACCTCACTTGAAAAACCCCAGTGCGCAGCGGATGGGTGCAGCTCTGCATCCTCCTGCCCCACAGACCTGTCAGCACAGGGCACCCAATTCGGTTTTCTAAGGTGACCTTGAGAGAGGGAGCAGAGCCCAATTTCAGAAAGAGGATTTATGCAGAGATGTCAGAGACAGAATCAGGCGAGGTGGCCGCACGTTCACCTGCCAAGCCCCAGCTCCCAGGGCAGCAGGCGAGGTCCCTGTTGTGCTGGAAGGATGGCCTCTGGGAAGGCCACCGCCACCACCTGTACGCAGCAGCGCTGGGAACGTGGCATTGAGCAGGGAAGAGAAGGAGGAAGTTTTTAAATTCTGTTACTGATTTAGAAAAGTGTGAGCATCCACCCAAGGCACAGCTGGAGGCTTTTCCTGCCAGGGGCTAACGCAGAAGGGAATGCCAGTGTGCTGCCGCAAGCTAGAATGGGTCATTTCACCCGCGCCCACAGGTACAGGGCCAGCCCAATGTCCCAGGTTTTCCACAGCAACACAGGACAGCGAGTACATTTGTTCCATGTGGCTGGTAGAGTATTTCCTAATTAAACAGCGCAGATCTAGATTCTATTTACAATAGAGCCAGCTTAAAAAATAAGTTAAAAAACTGGATTTTATACCCATTCAGTTCATTATTAACAAGAGAAAAATGGAATAATGAAAAAAAAAAAAGCCAACACAGCAACACAATATGGTTTTGGTTTAAAATCAGCTTAAAAAAATAGAACCAAAAGGAAACCTCTCATGCAAACACATAAGGTGGTGTGTAAAACAATGTGCAATTTAATATGTAGTATCATCCATTCTCTTGCTCTGCAGCCTCCTGCTTAGTCTCTTGTCTCCCAGCCTCACTCAGATCAGCTGCTGTTCCTTGCTGTGTTACTCTGGACCTCTGGTCCCTTCTGCACAGGCAGCGTACCAGTCTCTGCTCTGCCTCACAGACCTGGGGCGGCTGGCAGGAGGCTGGCCCCGACGGGAGACGCTTCCGAAGCACCAGGTACCGTTTTGAGCTCTTCCTGCCCAAGTGGACTCCCTACGCCCAGCGGCTGGGACAGAGAAACTTAAAGATCCTTGCAATAATACAATACCTTTTAAGAGAGGTCCCTCAGGTTTCCTAGTCCACATACATATATATATATATATATATAATATATATATAATATCTCTCTCTATATTATATATAAATTACATATACAGATAAATAAAATGCTTTCTGCTGCCTTTCTCTTGCACTGTTCAGAGCTGCTAGACAGTCACACTTGGAAAAATGCCCCTGGAGCTCTGATACTAGCTCATGTGCTCAGAGTCCATCGTTTCACTTGTTTCTTATGTTAGTCCTTAGCCGCCTCCTCCCATCTTGATTCTTGGTTTAGTTAATAATAATAATAATAATAATAATAATAATAATAATAATAATAATAATAATAATAATAATAATAATAATAATAATAATAATAATAATAATAATAATAATAATAATAATAATAATAATAATAATAATAATAATAATAATAATAAAAAACGACCTTGAATGGGTTCTCATCTGTCTCTAATGGAGCAGTGGGAAGGTCCATGCAGGAACGGTGGGAACAGTCACGTGATGAATGAGATGAGATCATCCCAACAAAAGAAACAGGACTAGAAAACTCAATTTTGCGACGATCTAAAAAAGGGGGCAGGAATAGTTTTCGTATCCCCCCCCCTTAGGGCAGAGGGCTTGGGTGGGGTGGGACTTCAGAGATCTTCTGCTCACGGGGAAGCAGGGGTGAGACATCTTCAGAGTTTCTCTGGAGACGGGACCCAGATGTAGTGCCCGGACTGGTCCTCAATGATCTGTTTGATTTTGCTGTAAATCTCTTCGAGAGAGTCTCCTTGTACGATGGCTGGAAGAGGAGAGAACAAGCAAGACCTTGAGCATCAGGCAGCACTGTGTCTTCCCCACCACGCGCTACGGGAAAGGCCTTCACTCTGCACCAAAGGGGCTGGTGTGGCGCGGCCAACAATTAATGAACAAGACAACCCATGTCAAAGGAGCTGTAACAGGCGCATGATGACACAGAGGGTTAACCCAGCGCGTCCAAGGGGATTAGCGAGAGCTGATCCCGCGCTGGCAGAGCTCCTCACGCGTGTGAAGTGCCGGCCAGGTTCTCCACAACACAACAAGCTGCTAATCAGCTTTACAAACCATGTCACGCCACTGCGCTGAGGTGGCGGGCAGCTGGCCCCAGCACTGCAGCTACTCCGCCGCAGTGAACGGGAGGGCCTGGCGCAGGTTAGCTGGTGTGCACCCAGCGCGGACCCCGAGGTGCTGGACTTGTCCATCCCCTCTGGTCGGGTCCTGAGGGCTCCTTGCATTTGTTGCTTCCTCTGTTGCGGGGTGGGAATCGAAGCACTGCCAGGCTGGAAAAGGCCAGCTTATGGCTGTCGCTCCCAGCGACTCTTGCCCAAAGACCAGTGACAGTCTCACTGCTCAGTACACAACACGAAGCACTTCACCATGCTTCCTAAATCAGAGGAGGAAGACACACATGGAGGGCCAAAGCTTTCTGGTAATTCAGCCAGCCAGGACCATCCTCCAGCATCTCTGTTCCCTCATTATAAATTCCTGGCACAGAACTTGCTACAGCGACCATCTCTCTGCCCATTACCCAATTCTTTCAGCAACGGGTTTCAGCCAAGAGCGTTCCTTCCCCAGGTCAACTTCAAACTCGCTGTCCAAGCGCACGATGGCATGCTGAGCATCTGGCAAAACTGCAGCGCACGCTTCCTTTGCGCTCTCCTTAGAAGAGCAGCCGGCAGCTCTGGAACTGCTGCCTGGGACAGAAGGTCTGGGGAAAGCTTCTACCCTGTTTGTACCCATACATTTGCTCAGCTGAGATCCATTTTTGGAAAGTGTTCTGCTTGGGATTTTTCCCGGTTGCCGTTAGGTGGGTAATACAGGGTTTGGCAGGATTATCACTCCTCAACTTTAGAAGAAACAGTTACTGCACTGGAGGAAAGATGGAAGACCGGTTTCTCTGCCTCTTCGCCTGCCCATGATTTTCCAGAATTAATCACGTTACAAACATTCGTTCCTTAATGCACAAGGATGCCTGTGTCATGAGCAGCTCATCTCTGCCGGCACAAAGCGCCAGGCAGCCCCTGACTGGCTCTTCAGCAAAGAGTACTTAGGAAGCCAGCCAAACTTCCAGTCTTTTTTTGGGAGATGTTTTGTAATAGCTCAGGACAGTCTCCATCATTTAGGTCACTAATCTTTTATCTTTCCTCTTTAAAATGACTCTTCTCGGTTTTTGAAAACACTCCCCTTTCCCCCGTGCAGGGAGTTTTATTTCCTGTAGCCTTGTAGCACCCTGCATCTATGCTGTGCTTCCCCTGCCTGGGGATTTTTTTCTCTTTTTATTATTATAAAGTTGGTGATAAGCTTTCACAAACTCAGAAAATCCTGCCTGACAACTTGTCTTCTTCTCTAGAGCTGGTTTACTCTTATCCACTGAGCTTGGAGCAGCCCCTTTGCACAGCCCTGCTGGCAAAGTGCCATTTCTTTTTTGCTTTGATGAAGCTGGACATTTTCCCATGACCCTGCAGTAAGACAGTGCTGGTAGAGAGGTCACAGCTGCCAGACGGAAAAATAAAATAAGTCAGATGATACAAGCCTGCTCAGGACACTCACCTGTAAAATACTCTCCAAACTCTTGCTCGAGTTTCATGGCTTTGTCAAAAACCTTGATGGCCTGTTCGTACGTCTGTCTCCGGTTCATCTCCCTGCCAAGTAAAAAAAACCCGAGAAACTTAGCTCTTTTTCTTAGCAACGAACAGAAGCAAAAATAGCCCATGGACCCGGGGTGTCTGGAAAGCACACCAGGAATGGAAGCTGTGCAGGACCCAGCTCTCAAAGGCAGGACCCTTCCCCACATGCTCTTTGGTGCCTTGGCACTTCATCTCAACTTCCAACAGTTCTTCCGATTGCCACCACCATCCCCTTTCACCATAGCACAGAAGTGGACTCAAATCCAGACAGTCCTCCGAATTTGCAAGACCACTGCAGAATTCTCCCTGCTTTTCCAGAGCCTGTCACCACTCTCCTTGCCTAGGTTCCCTCATCTTCCTACAACACCCAAATAAGCAATTAAACCCCTTTTGGCTTGGGAAGGGGTTTTCCCAGTCCCCTCGGTGCCAGCAGAGTCTCTTCTGATCTCAGAGTCCATCTCTAGCTACTGAATCTCCTCACAGATAATCTCTGCTGCTGCTCCGAAGAGTTGCAAGCTCAGCTCCTTTCCAGCCTGTGCTCCCCAGGGCCAGGAGCAGCAGGACAAGCAGAAGGTCCCTCTTAGGCACAGAGGAAACATCTCCTCTCTGCTCCCCAGGGCTGTCTTGGCTCAGCCACCATCCAGCTGTGATCCACCAGTACAGGCTGTCGGCAGCTCTCCTGGCTGGACGCAGGGCCCAGGTGAGCAGGTTACATCAGGCACATTTGGGAGCATTTTTAGATTTCCCATGGATAATTCTCTTTGGGGCGAACGAAGGGCTTTAAGCCAGAACAATCCACAGAGCCTAGGTGCACCATGGCATTAGATGTGGAGGGACACCACTGAGACAGCAATGGGTCCAGCTCCTCTTAACAAGGGACAAATTCAGCATCAGCAGCAACCTCCACTGCTTTCTAAAAAGCACAGGCAGCAGACATACAAACCCTCAACATGCAAGAGCTGCTCACCCTGGAAAGGCACAGCACATGGCGTTGCACTTACATGAGAGCTTCAGTGGATTTTGGTTTGATGAAAATGGCAATGGGATAAAGTTGTGCTTGTTGCAACCTCTTGATAGCATTGCCAGACACATCCAGGATGCAGTGTTTCCCCTGGAAAGGAGACAATCGAGATCAGACCTACCCACACAGTCTACCCCGTGCAGAAAACAGCTTGCTCATATAGGTGTGCTTACAAAAGAGAGGAGCCACAGAGATGAAACACCAGTCCTGAGACACAAGCCAACTCCCAGTGGCCTTATGTTCCTGCCTGCTTAGGGCAGGATAGCAGCATTGCAAAGGGACCAAATCTTCCTTTGAACACGTAAAACAATTTACAAGCCATCGGTACGCTCCAGTACTCCTGTGGAGGAAATGCCACTGCTTCGAGAAGGGCAGCTGGGCATCTTTGCCCTGCGAGCTCCCGAGCACGAGGCTGGTGCTGCCAGTGCTGGGCTTTTGGGTGGAGTTTGGATGGCAGAGGTACAACAGTGAGGTGGAGTAACATGGCTGAGAAAAGCAGCCACGTGGCTTGGCAGGACTCTGGAGGGAGGAGAGGCTCGTGCCACGCTTGCTTAATGTGGTTACAGCCGTTCGTTAAGAACACAGGAAGAGGAAGGGAACTGCTGAACACATCCAGGTTTGGGGAATGCCACCCGACACTCACCCTCTCCGCCACTGCCCGCACTGACTGAATGCTGGTCCCATAGAGATTGTCATTGAACTGCCCAGCCTCTATGAACTTGTTGTCCTGGATGTCTTTCTCCATCTGTTCGCGGGATACGACGAAGTGGTAGTCTTGTCCATCCACCTCGTTCTCGCGCCGAGGCCTGGTAGTGTCTGGAGGAGAGGGGGCATCATGAGCGAACCTGGCCAAGTGATGCACACCAAACCTCCTGGGATGGAGAAAACCCACCTGTGCTCCCGGCCCTCTCCCCATGCCGTGGGCTAGACCCTGCAAATAGCAGAGCCACCCCCGCCCCTCCCTTCAGCAAGGGCACCGAGCGCCAGCTGGGACTTACGTGGCACGCAGGAACCAAACTTGTGTGGGAATTCGGAGATGAGGTCGTCGTTAACTCGGTCCTTTGTCGGCCCCAGGATGATCACCGGCCTCGCATAGTGAACTGTGAACAAGAGCCACTACCTGAGGCCCCATCTGCGCTGTGGGCAGCTGACCCTACTGCCACGTTTGGCATCAACCCGCCCTCTCCCCGCTGGCAGTGGGCGCTTCTGCTGACATGGCCACCCAAAGGTGCCTCCTCCGTGCAAGTTTATCTCCTCCTGGTCACGGTCAACATCTCCTTCCCATCTGACCCAAACCATCTGCGTGGCCCTGGGGAAGGTGCTGCGGGTCTCCAGGGTCACGGATCAGCAAAGCTGCTCCCTCGCTCGCGGCAGGAGCCAGACAATTGGGACAGCTGGGCAAGGAAACCACGGAGCTGGGGCAGCAATGGGAGCCCAAGAGTCTGATCCAGCTTCTGGCAAGGAGAGACCATTGAGGCTGGGACTATTCAGCCTGCAAAAGGGTCTGCAGGGATTGAGCACTGAGCAGGGTTAAATGCTGAGGGCTGGGGGGGAGTTGCTTTGCAGCAGGGACCTGGCCCAAGGCAGGGAGGGATAATCCTGTCCTCAGCTGGGGACTAAAGCCCAGCTCAGTTTTAGCTCTGGATCTCTCCCTTGGTCTTGCAGACGAGGCCACAAGTCTTTTCTGTTGATTAAAAAGGGTTGATCAAGGCCAGGGAAAGCCCTGCGAGGTGGCATGCACACCTGGCTTCCCTACTGCACACAACAGACAAAAAACACCATTTGTGTTGACCCTGCATCGTGCTGGGATGGCAGAGGAGGGGAGGAGGTCGCACCGGCCGCCCTGGCTGTGCCGGTGACACAGGTGCCCACGCTGGAGCGGGCACAGGGCAGCTCAGCACCAGGACTTACTTTCATGCCGCGTCACCGGCTCATACGACAGGACGGTGTCCTCTTGTCCTTCTGCAACAGAGCCGGGAAGAGGCAGGTGAGCACTGGCAGCAGCTTTCCAGCCCTTCCGCACCCACGAGGAGCTGGCTCCTCCCCCCACCACCCCCCCCGCGCACTGCCCA